TTTACATCGGAGCTCCAAAAATAGTATATCAAATAATACAACCCAACATTTCAAAATAAAGGTACGACTTGAATATACAAAGGGTCTACAAATGATACATGCCCCTAAAAGAGATAACTCAAGATGTACTCTGCTTCACACTCGGTCTGGAATATTGTTGCTCAAAAGGCTCCTCGAATGCTCCTCCTAAATACCTGCGCATAGAAACAATTTTCAAACACTGAGCTCACTAGCCTAGTGCCACACTAACAACTAAATCATACTAAAAGTGTTCATCAAATGCTCATACTATTGAGTGCAATGCAATAATGAGTATAATCATATACTTCACTCTTTACTCTAGTGTAGACATCATTATGCGGCTGAGGGTTTTGCATCTCGGGGCCCACGTACCCTTCTAGTCTACCTAAGATATAGTCCGAAATCTCTACATTGGACACAACGCTCTCGACTAACCTACCCCTCGTGTGTGTTAGGCCTCGAGCCTTAGTTAGTTATTTAAACTACCTCGCGTGCTACATAAAGATATCCATATAATACTATTTCTCGACACCAATAACATTTACTAAAATAACTCAGGTATCATGATTGTTTCCTGAGCATCAACCAAGGCTAGTTTTATGTCACCCTAATTGATCTCGTTTATATTGTATTTGAACGTTACTCTTGTTTTGACTTGTAGTCTTATTTGAGAGTAATTATGGAGTTCTTGGGAAACCTCATTACTTCTTAAAATCCCTTTGAAATAATGCGCAAAAAAAGTACGTTGGTACCGATACTAGGCCTCTCGATATCAATACCAACCCTTGAGTATCAGTACTCTACCTAGGGTATCAGTACTCTACTACAAATTTTAACTTAAGGAAAAAGGGGTAGTATCAATACTCTTACACCAGTATCGATACTCCTAAGCTTAGGTATCCATACTATTCAGGGTATCAATACTAAATTTGGGTTCGATGTTTTAAAAATGACCTTGGTATTGATACTCTTATGGGGAGTATTAATACTCTACCCTTGGTATTGATACTTCCCTCAAATATCGATACCAAAAATGGACACTGGAAAAATGCTCTCTATAACACCCTAATCATATCCGACCCGAAGATCCATGGATTACAATGCCACATGGAACCACCAAAATGGTCAACTCTAAAATTTCTTTTCAAAATAGTTTAAAGCCATCAAAAACATCCACCATACCATATGTGGAATATAAATAAAGTTTACAAAGTACGAGAGTCCCTCAAATACGTATAAATACAATCCATGAGTTTGAAAATCAAAATAGAGTTGTGAATTGAATATACAATGTCCAAATAGAATACATGCCCTATACAAATACTAAAGACATACTTTGATAATCGGTCGATCTAAAATGGACAAATGTGATCCCTTATCAATCCTCTACTATTATACGCACAGTAACATATTCTATACGATGAGCTCACAAGCTCAGTGCCATGAAAATAACCATGTAATACTACATGCATTCATTTCATGGACATACTGAAGTGCTAAGTCATATACATGCAGAAGTACATAACAAATATGAGATAGGCCAAGTAGTGTGGTAGGAAGAATTTACATGCATCTCGGACAACACACTAACCTATCTAAAACGTGATAGCTTTGGGGTAAGAACTAGAATTTGCGTGCGTCAGAACTTATGCCCTCATTGTACCTCAATTCCTCGAGAGTCGAGGAGAGGTCCATAATTTATTGCATCGGAAGCTTACATCTCGTACCTAGTCGAGCATAGGGTACGGTTTTAAAAATTACATGCATCGAAATTCGTACCAATATGACACAAAATTTACGTGCATCGGATGCGTACCAAACAAACAATATTCAGATATTCACAAACAAAAGACGATCATCGCAATGCTAAAGTGACTTAGTGTCCTAGCCATATCCCAAGCACTATACAAAGACAAATCTTATGTCGTCCTATCATGCTTGACCTCTATGTGAGAATTGAGTTAATTTGTTTTCTTTCACTTTAATTTTATACTTAAGTCTTATACAAACTCAACCCACCTAATCCCGAGCACCCAAACAATTTAACCAAAAATTTTCAAAAATCACTGTGGGTATCGGTACTGCACCAACAATATCCATACACACCCCTTAGGGTATCGATATTCACCTGAGTACCAATACCAATTTTATTTATTTTTGAAAAATGCCTCGGTATCGATATTCTTATGGGGAGTATCGATACTCTACCCTGGGTATCAATACTCCCATGGGTATCAATACCAAATGTGGCTTCGATTTTTTAAAAAAGCCTCAGTATCAATACCAACCCTCCGAGTATCGATACTGGACCTCAAGTAACTATACTCCTTGAAGGGGTATCGATATTGCCCTTATAACATGCTTGATTTTTGGCCTTTCATGAAGAGCAATATCGATATTGTTCTTACAATACCGATATCAATGGACATGAGTGCTCTGCTTTGAGCACTAAATCATGCCCAAAACTCACCCATTGACTCCTCTAAGTCTATTAAACATTTTAGTCTTTTTTGACGTCTTAGAGGCCAAAAGGTATAAACTTTCATGCTTGAAATATACAAATATGAATTATGCCATGGATTTACTCCGACATGCTTTCATGAACTTAACATACCAAATATACACACAAAATGGCCTACATGTGGTAAAGATAAGTTAGAATCGTGTTACCTTGCAGCTTGGTGACTAAAACATTCTTGAATCACCCAATATTGAGCTTTTTCTTTCCCCTTGACTTGGAGCTCTCACCATTCTCTTACACTAATCAAAACCATGGGAAAATGAGTTATTAACTCATTCCAAAACTTAGGAAGGTGTTAAAACGATCCTACAACTCAAAACTCTCCCAAAAATGGATTAACTTCAAGATTCTATAACCTCTTAAAATATGTTTTTGGTTAACTTACCCAAATTTTGCAAAAGATGATTTAAAAGGAAACTTGAAATATGGAGATTGAAGTTCTTACCTAGGAAGACTTAATGGGGGATCATATTTCTCGAAGTTTTAATCTTTAACTCAACTTGGGAGATAAGATAATGGAGAAGAATAGAAGAAGAAGACAAGTCTGGTGCAGAAAAAGAGATGGGGGTGAAAACAGACGTGATATCATCCCAAATTAATGGGATTCAACGTCATATTTGAAAATTGGTCAAATTACTCTACAAACCCTTTTTTTTAAGCTGAGATTAAAAAAACCCTTTTTCAAAGCTTGTTGGGTTCACCGTTTGGGTCTAAAGCTTTATAAACTAAGGAAAATTATCTTAAGGTCCAAACGAATAAACTCGAAACTCTTAACCCATATTTTGGGGCGTTACAACTCTCTCCACCTAAGAAGAAACTTCGTCCTCAAAATTTTCCTGAATAGAATAGACGTGGATACTGAAGTTTCATATCCTCTTCAGGTTCCCATGTTGCCTCCTTAATGCTATGATTTCTCCATAAAACCTTTACTAAAGGTATCTTCTTGTTTTGAAGCTCCTTGATGTCTCTAGAAAGGATTTGGATTGGCTTATCCTCATAAGTCAGGTCTTGCCTCACTTCATCTTAATCAAAGGGAATAACATGGGATGAATTGAATTGGTATCTTTGGAGCATGGATACATGAAACGCGTTGTGGATGCGCTCTAACCCCGGAGGTAAAGCTAGTCAATGTGCCATTGGCCCAACTCTCTCCAAAATCTCATACGATCTGATGAATCTCAAAGTCAACTTACCATTACGTCCAAACTAAAGTACATTTTTCCACATGAAAACCTTTAGGAATACCTTGTCTCCCTCTACAAACAATATATCATTGCGCTTCAGATTGGTATAGACTTCTGTATGTCAGAGGCTTCTTTTAGACTACTTTGGATCAACTAAACTTTTTCTTCAGATTCTCACATCAAGTCGGATCCTACTATATTGTCCTTATCGGGTTTCATCCAACATAATGAAGTTATGCACTTCTGCCCATACAAGGCTTCATACGGAGTCATTTGAATACTTGCTTGGAAATTGGTTTTATATGCGAACTCCACCAAGGGTAAATGATCCTCCCAACTATCTTAAAGATCCAAAATGGCGCATTTAAGCATAACTTCCAAAATATGAATGACTCACTTGGACTGCTTGTCTGTCTAAGGATGAAAGACGGTGTTATAATGCAGCTTGGTGCCTAAAGCTCCATGTAATGATTTCCAAAACCAAAAAGTGAATTGCGGATCCCTATTGGATATGATTGAGATGAGAACTCCATGTAACATCACAATCTTGCAGATATAAAACTATGACAATCTCTCTAACATGAAGTCTATCTGAACCGAAATAAAATGAGCAGACTTGGTCAAACGGTCCATTATAACCCATCCCATGCCATGCTTGAATCTTGTCATTGGCAAACTAGTTACAAAGTTCATAATCACTCTTTCCCATTTCCACTGTGGAATCTGAATCGGTTGTAGAAATTCAGAGGGAACCTGATGTTTCACCTTGACTTGTTGGTATACTAAGCACTTGGCAACAAATTTGGACAATTCTCTCTTCACGTATGGCCCCCAATACAATGGTTGGAGCTCTTGGTACATCTTGTTGCTACCCTAATGAATGGAGAAAGGGCTAAAATACGCTTAATGAAGGATCTAGTCTCAAAGCTATCTGCTGGATGTCACATATAAATGCCTTCAAAAGTACAGTACTCATGTAACCCAAAACCTGGAGCTTCACCTCAGAGGACTTGCTCTACTCGGGCCATCAATTGGCTATCCAAACTTTGTAACCTCTTAACCTCACCCATTAACTCAGGCTCAACTCTTAACTCAGCCAAAAGACAACCCAAATCTGTCAAACTCAAACACGCTAGCAAAGTTCGCAACTCCACTACAATTGTTTTGCTTAAAGCGTCCATAACAATGTTCACTTTACTCGGATAGTAGTCAATCACACAATCTTAATCCTTCAAAAGTTCTACCCATCTTCACTGTCTCAAGTTCAACTCTTTCTAAGTAAGTAGGTACTTAAGGCTTTTGTGATCCATAAAGATGTGGCACTTCTCTCCAAACAAGTAGTGCCTACAAATCTTCAAGGTAAAAACCACTACGGCGAGTTCCAAGTCGTGAGTTGGGTAGTTCCGTTCATGAGGCTTGAGATAACAAGATGCATAGGCCAAAACATTACCCTCTTGCATCATAACACAACCTAACCTATTTAGAGATGTATCACTGAATATGGTGAAATCTTTACCCAATTTTGACTGGGTTAAAACAGGGGCTTGCGTAAGAATCTCTTTTAGCCGGTTAAAAATTTCTTGGTGCTTATCAGTCCAAACGAAAGGAACTCCGTTTTGAAATAACTTACTTAATGATGCCACAATCATGGAGAATTCCTTAACAAAATGATGGTAATACCCTACTACGCCTAAGAAACTATGCACCTTAGTGATATTCTTAGGTGGTTCCCACTCTAATACTACCTTAATCTTATAGGGATCCACTGAGATTCCAGTGGTTGCTACTACATGGCCCATAAATGCCACTTGGGTAAACCATAACTCAAAATTCCCAAACTTGGCATATATTTGATGCTCCCGAAGTGTCTGCAACATGATATAGAGGTACTGGTTATGTTCTTCCTTGGACTAAGAGTACACGAGAATGTCGTCGATAAAGACCACTAAAAACTTGTCCAAATAGGGATGGAAGACTCGGTTCATCAAATCCATGAATGCTTTCGGGGCATTGGTGAGTCCGAAAGGCATCACGAGTAACTCATAATATTTGTACCTTGTCTTGAAAGCGGTCTTGGCAATGTTGGCATCCTTAATTTTTAACTGGTAGTACCCTGACCTCAAATTGATCTTAGCGAACATACATGCGCCATTGACTTGGTCAAAAAAATCATCTATCCAAGGGAGAGGGTTGCGATTCTTGATGTTTATCTTGTTCAGTTGTTGATAGTTGATGCACAACTTTATCGACCTATCATTTTTCTATAAAAAAAAGGAATGACACTCCCCAAGGTGATACACTCAGTCTAATGAATCCCCTATTTAACAAATCTTGAATATGGTTCTTAAGTTCCTTAAACCATGTCAGTTCCATGTGACAGGGTACGATGAACATCGAAGTTGAGCCTAGCATAACCTCTATGCTAAACTTGATCTCACGGTCAGGCGGTAACCCTAACAATATTTCTGGGAATACGTTAAAGAATTCTCAAACAGTACAGATGTTCTCAAGCATCGGAACAGTGACTCACATATCTACCACATGAGCTAAGAAGGCTTTGAACCCCTGACTTAACAATCTATGAGCCTTGATTACCGAAACAACTTTGGTAGTATAACCCAAACTCTCACTGGTCATCATTACCTTGGTCACATTATCCTTGCGAAGCTTGAGTCATCTCTCCTTGCACCTCAAACTTCCATCATGCTCGATAAGTCAATCCATTCACAATATCACATCAAACTCGAGAAACATAAGCTCCACGGGGCAACGACAGTGAACCTTGTCCACTAAGACGTCTAATCCTAGGGAACTAGGTACTCTGACCCCTATTTCTAAATCCTCTGCTGAAATATTTCTCCATTGGACCAGATCGTAGCAAACATATTAGTAGGTGGAACCCGACTCTACCAAAGCAGTAACATGAATGGATAAAACTATAAAGATTCCTGAAATCAAATTAACATTGTCACACTCCTCTTGGGCTCTAACGATATATTGATATGAGGTCAATCTGGGATCTTGTACGGACTCTGATATGGTATTAACCCTACTGTACTACCCTAAACCTACTCTGACACTCCAAGAGGATCCTTGGCCTCGTTGTACAGATGGGGCAGACCTCTAAGATAATATGGGTGACAAGCTCTAAGCTTTGGGACAGTTGTTGACAAAATGGTCCAAGGACCTGTAGCTGAAGAAACCTCATATCGTTCAATAACACTCTCCAGGGAGTCTACGCTCACAAGTCGAGCACATTGGGTGAGATGGTGCCCTCATATTCAGAGCATTTTTCATACTTTAAATACATGCCATCTAAATTTTTCCAAAACAAACCAGATTATCCTATAGTTACTAACGAGTCAACCTTAATTGATGATATTCGTTTCTACTGCTACACTCCTTATTTAATTATCTCTTCTTGTACCTACGCGTGGAAGCAACACACGTTAAGTATTTATTTAGTGAGATACAATATTGTAAATTAATCTTTATGTATACATAAGTACGTCATGTATTAGTTAGTACTAAATCGTATATTCTTTAAGGATCCTATAATCCTCCTCAATTAATCCATATTCCATTCACAATTATCTATATTTTAGTATGCCATTCGTTTCTACTGCTACACTCCTTATTTAATTATCTCTTCTTGTACCTACGCGTGGAAGCAACACACGTTAAGTATTTATTTAGTGAGATACAATATTGTAAATTAATCTTTATGTATACATAAGTACGTCATATTTATTTAGTTAGTACTAAATCGTATATTCTTTAAGGATCCTATAATCCTCCTCAATTAATCCATATTCCATTCACAATTATCTTAATATTTTAGTATGCCTAGCATATCTATCTTTCTTTATATTTTTATTTTCTATTTATCTTTTTAGTCATGATTCTTTATTTTCATTGAGAGCGTCCATTCATACTTATAATGCAAAATTATGCATTTTCAATTATGACATCATTTTGTGCCGATAATACACCCATATGCATTTCATTTATGGCATCCTTTCATGCCTTTTATACTCTATTATACATTTCATTGATGACGTCATTCCATGCCTTTTATACATTATTATACATTTCATTTATGCCGTCCCTTCATGCCTTTTATACACTATTATACATTTCATTTATGGCGTCCATTCATGCCTTTTACACACAATTATACATTTCATTTATGGCGTCATTTCATGCCTTTTATACACTATTATACATTTAATTTATGGCATCCTTTCATGCATTTTATACACTATTATACATTTCAAAACCCATTTTCTATAATCTCTATTATTTTCCTCATCTCATAGTTTTAATCACATATAGTCCTTCCTTAAGCTTCTATCACGCTCAAGGCTTCAATAATTAACCAAAAATAAAAGGATAAACTATCAAATTGAAATCTCACTTTTTCTATAGGGGAAAGCTTTTCCACGGGAAAGAATAGAAAAGAGAGAGATAGCTTACTTTCCTCTTTTCCCCTTTTAAATCCCTAAAAGGGATATATTTTAATTTCAATGTCCCTCTTAAAAAACCAAAGTGCCATCTTTATTCATATTTCTATACAATTTAGTTCAAAACACTATTCTAAATCATTTTCTCATTTTTAGCATTTATTCAAATAAATCCCCAAACTTGAAATCTTTTCAATAAAGTCCCTTATCCAATATTTGGGGCATTACGATTCTCCCCCTTAAGAAAATTTATCCTCGAATTTAAAAACTTTATGTGTTTACCACAATACTACAACTAGAGGAATCATTTAGTTACACAATTTATGTATTTCTCTAGTCCATATTTGTATTATTTCTTTTTCGTAATTCAATTCTTATCGAATTTATATTTTCCCCATAACCCATTTTTTCATTCATGAATCAAGATTGATTGAAACAATTTAGAAGATACTTGATGTTCAACTATTCCTCTAAGAGTACGTCAGACATTTTGCAAAAATTTTTGTGATGTCTCTATTCAAATTAGGCCACTCAACTGACTCTTTAGATCTCAATACCTCTTGTTTCCACCTGAATGCATAGTCAACTGACTTAATGCTTCAACCAAATATCTTTTTAAATTCTTAATCATCAGAAATACAAAGTCTCCCACGATAATACGAACATCCGTCGAACCTGACCTCAAAAGTCATTAATCTCTTTATTTTCTACCTATATAATTATCATTAAGAAATTGTTCGTCTTTCCTGCCTCGGTTTCACTCTCTTCCATTCCACCAGTATCTTAGGCTTTTGTAATTAGCACCACTATAGTACCACTCACTATACATATTATGACGTCAATTCTTTTAAGGCAACTTGACTACTACCGACTCTAAATCATGCTTAGATAATTCCTCTTGGGAATCTTTGACTATATCGAGGCATATGCCATAATCTTACCTTTGTACATAAGCACCCTTCCTAAATTGTTGATAGATGCATCAGTAGAAACCACATAGATTTATCTGAAAAAGCATCTATCGATTCCCGATTTTGTGAAATTATTAAACAATTATACTTTAATTATTTGAGTTTCTATCACATTAGCTATAAAAGTTATATATATCTTCTGAACCTATACCCAATATAATCTTAACTCATCAAATGATAATTCTATGAGTTTCACCGAGAACATAACCCCTGGAATATTTATCAATTGTTTACTACCTGTCCAACTCACTTTTGTATTATGACCCACTAAGGTTTACTATTATCATCTCACTTGAGATTAAGTTAAATAGAATACTTTTATTTTTAAAATCTTTCATTTCCTCATTGAGGAAATCCGTGTAACTTTTCCAGATCCATTTAAAATATTCTCAAGCAATTGAAACATTTTCTCTCTCAACTATGAAAGTCTAGTTATCCACATCATTTAATAAGAAGACTTGGCAACCTTGTAGCAATAACTTCATAACAGTTAATGCTAAAAATTACATTAGTAACCAAATTTACTCTTAAACAAACTCATAATCACTTGATCCACTTATAATTCATCTTTCTATAGGCTTTTAGCAGTCAATGTATTTACCGCTTACTCCTTTCCTCTTACTCAAATTAACAACACTTTTAACAATTTAATGTTTCACTTAAAAATTTCTCAATTAATTAAGCTTACCTGAATAAATCTCGGAATCATCACTAGATTCAGAAATCTCCTCTGGATCCTCATCTGATTAAACTTCTCTTGTAAACCGTTCAAACTTTTCAATAGATTCCTAAAATGCAAAATCATCGTTAAACACTTAGGCATTCCTTCCATAAAATGGAGGAAAATCCCTAGCAGCTTCTACCCTTTTACGGCATGATACTGAAATCATGTCAGATTTACTTAGGTCGATTTTGATCTCGATCTTCTTTTCAATATCATCTACTTTCTTACCTTTGTACTTAGTTTCCGACATATATTAGAACATACATAAGAATAATGTTCAAGTTAATAAGGACTGACATCAATCACACTCTAATTGACACCCTATCAGTAACTTTGACAATCTTAATGGCATGTAATCCTTTTTCTCAATTCAATTAAACTCGATTTCGGTCGAGAATTGGCTAAACCTATATCTTTGATACCAATAAATGTAACACCCGTATCCCGTATACCTTTCCGTACACAAAATACATATGTCACATCACTTTTAAAATATTTTCTCTTTTAAAAACCCGTAAAATTTTGTTTCCAGATTTTCTTAAAACATAACATTTTTAAGATAAAGAAAAACACTAATTGGAATATGATGAGAGGTTCTACTTAAATACAATTCAGAGCATTTTTCATACTTTAATTACATGCTAGCTAAATCTTTCCAAAACAAACTAGATTGTCCTATAGTTGCTGACGAGTCAACCTTAATTGATGATATTCGTTGCTACTGCTACACTCTTTATTTTATTGTCTCTTCTTTTACCTACGCGTGAAAGCAACACACGCTAAGTATTTGCTTAGTGAGACATAATATTGTAAATTAATCTTTATGTATACATAAATATGTCATATTTATTTAGTTCATACTAAATCGTATATTCTTTAAGGATCCTATAATCCTCCTCAATTAAAATGTTTTCCATTCACAATTATCTTAATTATTTTTAGTATGACTAACATACCTATCTTTCTATATATTTTCCTTTTTCCACTTATCTCTTTAGTCATGATTCTTTATTTTCATTGAGAGCATCCATTCATACTTATAATGCACCATTATGCATTTTCAATTATGGCATCATTTCGTGCCAATAATACACCCATATGCATTTTATTTATGGCATCCTTTCATGTCTTTTATACGCTATTATACATTTCATTGATGACGTCATTTCATGCCTTTTATACATTATTATACATTTCATTTATGGCGTCATTTCATGCCTTTTATACAATATTATGCATTTCATTTATGGCATCATTTCATGCCTTTTATACACTATTAGACATTTCAAAACCTATTTTCTATAATCTCTATTATTTCCCTTATCTCATAGTTTTAATCACATCTAATCCTTCCTTAAGCTTCTATTATGCTCAAGGCTTCAATAACTAACCAAAAAATAAAAGGATAAACCATCAAATTGAAATCTCACCTTTGTTATGGGGGAGAGCTTTTCCACGAGAAAAAAAGAGAAAATTGAGATATAGCTTACTTTCCTCTTTGTCCCCCTTTTAAATCCCTAATAGGGATATATTTTAATTTCAATTTCCCTCTTAAAAGATCAAAGTGCCCTCTTTATTCATCTCTCTATACAATTTAGTTCAAAACACTATTTCAAATCATTTTCTCATCTTTTAGCATTTATTCAAATAAATCCCCAAATTTGAAATCTTTTCAATAAAGTCCCTTATCCAATATTTAGGGCATTACAATCTACCTAAGGCTCAAGGTTAAATCACGAAAAAAGTTTACCTCGTTGACACCAGTGTGCTCAGGCATCTCATGCTCGAAATCGGGGGCATACTCGTCACCGAAATCCCTAACCAATGAGGCACGACTCTCCTCGTGGCTCTCATGACCAGGGACGTCATCATCAAACATAATCAAATCCTACAAATAAAAGAAATTAGAGGTCATTATTTTCGTCCTAGAATCTTAAGTATTCTTAACACTCTAGGGGCATGTACTCACACAATTACTTATTGACTTTGACCCGTGAATCCTAAGAACGACTAAACTTAGATGCTTTGATACCACTAAATGTAACACCCTAATACAGTCTGAATCAAAGATTCATGGATTATGATGTCACACAAAACCACCGAAATAGCCAACCCAAAAATTTCTTTTCAAAACATTTTAAAGCCATCGAAAACATCCACAATACCATATGGAGAATAGAAATAATGTTTACAAAAGTACGAAAGTCCCTCAAATACGTACAAATACAATTCATGAGTTTGAAAATCAAAATATAGTTATGACTTGAATATACAAGGTCCATATAGAATACATGCCTTCTACAAATACACAAGACATATTATGATAATTTACCGGTATGAAATGGAAAGATGTGATAGGCTCCCTCAACGATCCTTTACTAACCTACGCACGGAAACACATTCCATACACTAAGCTCACAAGCTCAGTGCCATGAAAATAACCATGCAATCCTACACACATTCATTTCATGAACATGCTGAAGTGCTAAGTCATAGATGTAAAAGTATATAACAAACATAAGATAGGCCAAGTAGCGTGGTTGGAGGAATTTGTGTGCATCTCAGACAACACACAAACCTATCCAAAACATGATAGTTTCGGGGTAAGAATTGAAATTTACATGCATCAAAACTTATGACCCTTAGTCTACCTCGAATCCTCAAAAGGTCAGAGCGAGGTCAGAAATTTACGTGCATCGGAAGCTCATATCCCGTACCTAGTCGAGCATAAGGTACGATTCTGAAATTTACGTACATCAAAATCCATACCGATACGACCCAAAATTTACTTGCATTAGATGCATACCAAACAAACAATATCCATATATTCACAAACAAGAGACAATCGTCATAATTCTAGAGTGACTCGGTGTCTTAGTCGTTTCCTAAACAGCATACGAAGGTAAATCTTATGTCGTCCTATCATGCTTTGTATCCAGGTAAGAATTAGGTTAATTTGTTTGCTTTCACATGCATTTAAAACTTAAGGCTTATACGAACTCAACCCACCTAATCCTGAGCACCCAAACAATTTAACCAAAATTACCCAAAAATCACTGTGGGTATCGATACTGCACCAACAGTATCGATACTCAACCCAAAGGTTATCGATACTCACCTGAGTACCGATACCAATTTTAACTTCAATGTTTGAAAAATTTCTCGATATGGATACTCCTATAGGGAATATCGATACTCATGGGAGTATCGATACCAATTTTGGCTTTGATATTTTCAAAAATACCTCAATATCAAAACCAACACTTTAAATATCGATACTGGACCCCAAGTATCGATACTCTTTGAAGGGGTATTGATAATGCCTTATAACATGCTTATTTTTTTGCCTTTCATGAAGAATAGTATTGGTACTGTTCTTACAGTACTGATACCGACGGACTTAGGTTCTTTGTTTTGAGCACGAAATCATGCCCAAAACTCACCCATTGACTCCCCTAAGTCTATTAAACAATTTTAGAGTCTTATTTGACGTCTTAGAGGGCAAAAGGTATCAACTTTCATGCTTGAAACACACAAATACGAATTATGCCGTGGATTTACTCTAGCATGCTTTCATGAACTTAACATACCAAATATGCACACAAGATGACCTACATGTGGTAAGGATAAGTTAGAATCGTGTTACCTTGAAGTTTGGTGACTAAAACGTTCTTGAATCACCCAAGAGTGATCTTTTCCTTTCCCCTTACCTTAGAAAGGTGTTAAAACGATCTTACAACTAAAAAATCTCCCAAAAATGGATTAAACTTCAAGATTCCATAAACCTCTCTAAAACTCATTTTTTGTTAACTTACCCAAACTTTGCAAAAGATGGCTTAAAAAGAAGCTTGAAAGATGAAGATTAAAGTTCTTACCTTGGAAGACTTAATGGGGGATTAGATTTATCAAAGTTTCAACCTTTAACTCAACCTGGGAGATAAAAAAATGGAGAAATAGTGAGGAAGAAGAAAAGTTTGGTGGAGAAAAAGAGATGGGTAAAAGCATACGTGATATCATTCCAAATTAATGAGATTTAGCCTTATGTTTGAAAAATTGTCAAATTACTCTACAAGTTCATCCTCTCTTAAGCTGTGTCGACACCGTTTTTTGCCCAGGCGGGGAAAGGCCATTACCGACTTGGGGTTTTTCTTTGAAAAAGAATTTTGAAATGTAAGGAATCGCCACCAATCATTTAAGATGCGATTGGGAAACCATAGAAACCAAGTGATTTTAATAAAACAATTTATTTTTATCAAAATACCAAGTTTTACGGTCTGCGAAAATCCATAAATCAGGTTCAGGAGTCGGTTACGTATGGGGAAGGATTAGCACCCCAACAAGAACCCAAAAAATGGTACCTAGTTGATTACCCTATATTTAGAATTGGAAATTTTAAGTTCGAACTTTATTTAATTTAAAAATCATTACGGATGCAAAGCTAAAAAGAGTATTTGTTTATTAAGGCCAATATCATTCGCCCCTAGAACAAATTTGGGAGATCAACTATTGTGACCAGACATTGTCTTAATTTTAGAAATCATGATGTTATCTTGAAAAGGATGTCGACCTATTTCGGGAATCACCAGTAGTTACCCTCTGAGCATATTTGCGGGAGATATACCATTAATTCCCTTATAAGTGAATATTGCCTTAGGTTTGAAAATAAAATACAATCAGACAAATTGTTATTCATCCTAATTAAGCTAAGGGTAAATTAAGGTTTTTTCTAGCTTAAAGCGTCAAATTATGAATATTAAGAAACTTAGAAGCTCAAACCTAAAAATATAGGCTGTAATATTAACCCTATTTGATTTTTATATTAGTTATTGAATCGAATAGCCGAGATGGTCCCTTGAGCATTTAGGTGAGGGCCAACTCGAATTATTCCCTAAATTAAAAGAATAGTTTGAAATCTAATCTAAAATAGAGGTTAAATTTAAATTAATTTTAAGATTCGAATAATTAAATTGGAACCTCGAGAAAAAATGAGGACCAATTAAGAATTCTCCTAATTCAAGGACTAAATCTAAAATAAAAGTAATATAGATGGTGACTAAAATATTAAAACATAAATCAAAACAAGTTCAATTTAAAAGACAAATGACCTAACAAGGGCTAAGTTAAAAGGAATTTAAAATTGAAGGCCAAAATAAAAAAAAACATTTAACGAATATAAAAGGACTAAATTGCATAAACATTAAATTACCAAGCTAAAAAAGAAAATATGTTAGACATACAATAAAGGCTAAATTAAACAAAATTGAAATTTAAAAGGCTAAATCTAAATAAAATAAAAAATAGTTTAGGGACTAAAATACAAAAACACTTGGAAACTAAAGGAACTAAAAGGTAATTATACATTTTTATTTAAGCCTAAAATAACTTGTTTAACTAGAAAAGGAAAAATTACAAAATCAGTCCACATAAATTAAAATAAAATTAAAAGGTCACTACACATTACCGAAATGTAAAATCACACCTAACTTATAGAGACTAAAAAATAATTTTACCAAAAAAATATAACATGCATAAAAATGGAAAAATCACAAAAACAGTCCTTACATGTAACTAACATGAAAAAAAATACGTAAAGTAGGGGGACTAAATAGTAATTAAACCAAAAATTACAAAGTATAAACATAAATGGGTAAATTATGAAAAAGGTCCTTGTAAGTGGCTATTTTGTAAAAACATGGGTAAGTTAGGGGGACCTAAGTATAATTTCCCTTAACTTATTTTATAAATACTAACCTTTGATTTTTTTTCATTTGAAACAAAACACAAAAAACAAAAACAAAAACAAAAAAATGGACAAAAACTCTCCCATTTCTCATCGGTCAGCCCACTATCGGCCACCCTAAACCCCTCCTGCCACTATCCGATCACCGCACACAATGATTGAAAAACCCAAAATGACCCTAAAGACTAAAAAATGAGATCTATCCACCTAGGGCCTTGTTTAGGGCTAAAAATGGCCAAAAAAGGGCCCATAAACTACCCGAAACCCCTCGACTTCCCCAGACTCTGGCAACCCGAAGACGCTTCTCCTCGACTCAAAGGTAAACACTAAAAACACTCTCTATTTATTGCTTTGTTTGAAAACCAGAAAAAAAGTTTTTGTTACCCCTGGGAAAACTAAAAACACTTTCTATTGATATTCGATTCTTGCAAAAGAAAAAAAAGAAAAAAAGATTGATTAATACTCAAAAATAAAAAAAAACAATAACCTTGAGATTGTTTATTACTTCGAATGGGTGAAGAACCGAGAGTTTACAAGATTTTGGTTTGGGATTTTTATACCCATTTACAGAGGAAAAAAAATGAAATGATTGCTTTATCTTTTGATTGTTGTTTCTGCAGGAGTGGTGCAGAGTGCTGGTGGAAGTGGCATGTTGGAGCTGCCTTCGGGTATTGGGGCAGAGAAATGTGGCCACTGATTGGGGTGTTTGGGTGGCTACCCTAGGGGTTAGAGTTAGATTCGGGTCGGATCGGGGTCTGGTTGGGTTTTCGGTCTGGAGGCCCGGTTTGTGTTTTGTATGGGGTTTGATTTTATTATATTTTTGGTCTGGGCTTGAGGCCCGGTTGTAAATTAAGATAAAAAATGACAATCACAAGTTGAGATTAAAAATACCCTTTTTCAAAGCTTATTGGGATCACCACAAGCCCAAATCAAACCCGTTTGGGTCTAAAGCTTCATAAACTAAGGAAATTTTATCTTAAGACCCAAACGAATAAACCTAAAACTCATAACCCGTATTTTGGGGCGTTATAGTCTTGATACCAACCTATGGGTTTCGAAACCAAGATCCATTTTCAATACTCTTATAATGAGTATCGATATTATCTATATAAAACTCCATTGTTTTCTTTCCTCTCATACGAACAGTATCGGTATTGTTCTTTTAGTACTGATACTCATGCTCAAAATTACCCTGTTTGGGCACGAAATTAATGCTCAAACTCACCCAAAATATTCTATTGAGGTTTCCATACATTATTAAAGTTTTATGTGATATCAAGGGTCATAATAAGGGCTTTAAAACATGCTTAAACGCCAAAACATGAAATGTTCCATGATATGCCATATCATGCTTCATAACTCAACTCTCTAGCTATAAGATATTTAAATGACTCACAAATGGTATGATGAAGTTGTGAATGTGTTACCTTTATGTCTTAGCTGCTGGAAACTAATATGAATCAACCAAGGATCAATTTCTCTTTTCCTCTAGCTTTTGAGCTCTCCCCCACTTCCTTCACTAATAAAAGCAAGAAAATGAATTACTAACTCAACTAGGTGTTTGGGTTGACGTTAAGAACACTTCCTATAACTTGATTACACTAAAATAAGCTAGAATCACTTGATTCTCTTAAACCTTCCTAAAATCCTTTTTGGATCCTATGACTAAAAAACTTGAAATGTAGGGCTTAAATTGAAGCTTGAATGATGAATATTAATAATTTTACTTTTGTTAAACTAAACTTGAAATTCTTAAAGCTTTCATCTTTGCACAACTTTAGAGAGGAAAAAGAAGAAGAAAAGAGGAAGAGTGCTTGGTGAGAAAATAGGTAGGGGCCAACGTGATATCACCCTTAATTAAGGGTTTTTAGCTTTTGAAATGAACAACGAGTTAATTACACTTTTAGTCTTCATCTTTTTACTTTAATAATAAAATCATCCCAATCCTCTATCAATTGGGCCAAACTCAAGCCCAAATTTTAAATCAACTTGGTCAAGCTATACTATAATTCTATTGAGCTCGATTTCTAAGTCTCGGGTTAGCTCGAACTACTAACCTGGGATTTGGGGCGTTACAATTTTCCTGATAAATGTAAGAGATTGTCTGACTAAATAGTAAGAAGTCTCATGTTTCTTGTAATGTCTAGAGTGTTAGTAATAATACTATTGTAAAATAACATAATTAATATTGATTATCATAAATAATAGGATAAACTACGTGTTTAGTATCTAAACTATCAATTTAGCCCACTTTAGCATCTAAACTTTCATTTTTTTTTAAAAAATCACACCTAACGTTTACTTTTTGTTTTATTTTAGTACCTTGTCATTAAAAACTTAACTACACCTACTCTTTGATGTTGGTTAACCATTCATTTTATACATCCTTAGTGCACAATAATACTTAAGCTACAGGGCCAACCATATATTATTTAGGCAGCATAACCGACCATATATCAATAATACGGCAGAGCTGACCATATAATAAAACTAATACAATTGCACTAAGAACTTAAAAACAACTAAAGCTTAACCGAGAAGCTAAAGAGAAAAGAACATTTTATTGATACAAAATACAATTACATTATTACTCACTTATTTCATTACTTGTTTCTTTTTTACCTTTAAGCTCTTTTTCTCTAGCTCACACTTTTGACACTCTTTTTCTATTTTTTCACTCTTACTATAATGGTAAAATTCATTTTTTTCATTCTTACTATAATGGTAAAACTCACCTTTTTTCACTCTTACTATAATGGTAAAACTCACCTTTTTTTTTAAAGATGGTAAAACTTACCCTTATTTATATTGACCATTTGATTATTAACGCATGTAAACATCTTAGTCATTTAACAATATAAATTAATATTTAGATTCTTCTAATAGATAATTCTAAATTTAATATTAAATATTATAAATATCAAGATTTTTTTATGAATACTTCTACACATCTATAATTTTCATATTATTCTAGAGTATGTATATTAAATGACCTAGAATTTACATTGTACTTTAACACTTATCAATTTAGACATACATTCTGCGAGAAAAAGGGTAATGTGTATTCAAATTTGAGTTAAATGTGTTGTAGTCACCAGCTCTTTCCAATTTGTTGAAAGGAAAATTAAATATTCTTTTTTTCTCTAAATTAGAGAAGTACTTGGGAAGGAAGTCAAGTAGGATGAAGGTTAATGATATTAAATAGTTGAAATCATTTGATTGATTATTGATTATGTTAAAAGAATATTATTATAACACATTAAAAATTTATGTTGACACAAATTTAAATCATTTTGATATTTAAATAATTGATACTATAAAGTAAGTAATATTTTGAATAACTGAATATATTGGAGAGTTATCTCGTTTAGAACTAACATAATGATGTCAAAACCGAATAACTAATAATCGAAAAGACTGATAAATGGAGGTTCCTTAAGGGACAATTAGGAATTCATTAATAATAGTTAGTATTTGCCGTAAATGAATCGAGTCGGATTCGAGTATTATTGAGTTTGACCGGCTCGAAAAGTTTAAAGTTGGGCACAACTTGATTTGAAAACTCATGAGTTTAAAATTGTTAAACTCGATTTGAACTCGAAATTAAAAATTAAAGTTTGACACTTAAAATTTTCAAGCTCAACTCCAGCTTGAAATATTCTCAGACTTAGCCTGATTGAAGCTCAAACTTAATTTGATTCAAGCTCGAACTCAAGTTCGAACATGAACATTAATTACATGAAAGCTTTATATTGTATTTTTTTAAAAATAACATATAAATATTAATATTATTAATAATTTAATTTATTTTTAAATTTATAAAAGCTGATGGTTAAATTTTAAATTGTGTGATAATTTTATAATTTTTTTATAGTCAAGGGATTCAATAAATTTACTCTATAATTCAGGGATCATTTATTTATTTTTACCCGTGATTTTATTAGGATTTAGGTCATGGGAGGAGCGTGTAAAACTACTGTTTTAGATTTTAGTATACTTAAAGAATAAATATTACGAATTCGAATGCAATTCAAACAATCTTAAACTAGGACAGCGTCTCTGCTCCCAAATAAATAAACCCGTTGGGTTTTACCCGACTCGAAATTCTTGATGGAAGATGATAGTGCCGTTGGCGTTGGCGGTGGCGGTGAGCCCTCGAGAGTGGTCGCACCGAAGGTGATGAAGGCTGGTGACCGCCAGGTTTTCACGGTTGAGCTCCGGCCAGGAGAGACAACGTTTGTTTCGTGGAGGAAGCTTGCCAAAGACGCCAACCGAACCCATGGATCTTCCCCCGCTGCCGCTACTGCATCTCTGGTGGCGGCGTCAGCACCCAAGCCGCCGCCGAATGCCCATCCTAACCTCCATTCTCGCATCGCTCCAGTTAGAACCGCCTATTCAACCCCAATTTTACTTTTATAATTTATGTCCTTTATTTTAAATGTTCTTAATAGGCATCATGGCTCTAACTTTGACTTAGTAGTTTTGTGGTAAATTATTTAATAAATTGCCCTTGAATTTTATGGTATATTTGAATGCGATTGTATTGCTTGTCTGCATAGAAACCATTGGAAACTGGAAGAAAACCTGGTAACTGCTTTTAGTATCGTCTGACTGCTTAGAAAATATGGGAAAGTGGAAGAAAATCTGGTAATTGCTTTTTTGTCCCTTTTTACCTGTTCTTAATCATGTTTGACGTTATTCAGGGAGAAACAGCTGAACAAGAAGCGAAAGATGAGCCAGCCCCAAATCGTTTCAGTGCTGTTATTGAGAAGATTGAACGTCTTTACATGGTATTGCATGTTCTATTGTGTTTGCTAGAATTGTGAGTTTCACTTTTAATATGATAATGTGAAATTTTTTTTCAGGGTAAAGATAGCAGTGACGAGGAAGAACTGGATGAAACTCCAGATGATGATCAGTATGATACAGAAGACTCTTTTATTGATGATGCAGAGCTGGTAAGTACTAAATTTTATTACTTCTAGTTTTAAGCAACTGTAGTTTGTGCTATTCTTATCATAACAAGGGGTGTGGAATGTATTTTTATTGTTTTATAACATTGATTCGTTGGTCGTTATGCAGGATGAGTATTTTGAAGTTGATAATTCAGCAATAAAACATGATGGATTCTTTGTTAATAGGGGAAAGTTGGAAAGAATGTGAGTTTCTTTTAACTGTTTTCGTTCGTCTTCTTGTTCACCGATTGGTGACAGCTTTTGTAATGATCCTGTTTAGATGCCTATAAATATGCATCCTATGGCATACCAGGAACAACCATACACCATACATCCCTTATTGGTTAACGTTTGGTTAATTAATGAGTTATTTTCTCCTAAATAGGCAGAAATTTGGGTTGAAGGTCAAAACAAAATGGGATTCACAGTTCGGCTTTCAACTTTGGTTCCTGATATCACAAATGTTACTATTTTAGTGGTTGTCAAGGACCCCTTGCCCCTTTTATATCATATTTATTTTATGTTTCTTTATAATTGGAATATAGGTGAAGCATTATTTTACCTTACCAAATTCTAGCCTTTTACTGTTGAAAGTTCATTCTTAGTGGATTTCTTCTAAGTTCCCTTCCCTGATTTGTTTTGCTTCTTTTCCTTATTTTTTCAAGAAATGAACCTCCTGTGGTACCTAATGAACGGCCCAAGAAAAGGCAAAGAAAAGAAGCTGCAAAACTTACCACTGAGAGCGGCAATGGTCATTTGTTAAATAAACATGTGAAGGCAGCAAAGATGATGTCAGGGAGGGCTGAACCATCTCCTCTAAAGAATAATTCTAAATGTTCTCAGAATTTGACTGCATTAGAAGAAAAATACAGGGATGTAAAAGGTCAGAATCAATCATCAGTCTCTGGTGTTCCTTCCAAAAAGAAGTCTTCTGTGACAAGACTGGCATTGGATACTTTTTCAAATTTGAATGATCCAAATGGTGGCACTTCTTTACCTTTGGCGGATGTCATGGATATTGAAAGCTTAAATATGGGATTTCTGCAGTCAGAAAGTGTTGTCGGTAACAACTTGAAAGATGTAACTGGATCCTCTGATGTTTTGCATAAGAAATACCATGATAAAAGTGCTGTCACTCAATCCAAACCTCAACATGGAAAACTAAGAAGCAATGTTGATAAGCTTGAACAATCGGTTAGAACAAGAGAAAACAATGGCATTCTTGAATTGCCAGACATTAATGTTTCTGAAGGCATACATGCTGTGCGTACAGCAGTAAGTTATTATATTTAATCTTAAACTTCTGTTTTAATCATTTGTTCCATTTCTCAAACTTTCCATTGGCTGTTTTTTGTTAGTCGTGATTAGTAGCTGCCCAACCTAGTTAAGAGTTTTGAAACTAAGACAGTTTATGTTAGTGACAACCTATAATATCTGAAACACTAGGAATTAAGTAGCTTTATGTGTATGCATTACAGTAATAGAAGTCTCTAATATAGACACACGTGATATCTATTCAACAGAAAGATATTAGTATATACAGAGACAATAGAAACAGTTCTGAGTTAATTTGTTCTAGTCCCTCAAATTTATTTTTAATGTGTGTGGACTACTGGAAACACCCTGGAACGTTCAGATATGCCTTAAACTTCTCTTTGTGAGTGTGTGCACATCTGTGTGTTTTGCAAGAGACTAAAGTAGAAGGCTAGAAGCTACGTGTTTTTTCCAAATTATTTTCCATCAGAGAGACACGAGAAATTAGTTTTGCATTAGATATTAACGCTTTCATATTGAACTTGGTTTTATGTGCAATATGCCTTGCAGAAATCTTCACATATGATGAAAAAGGATGGTTCTACTCTTAGGCCCAAAAGTTTCGTGCTTGAAAAGGCCATTAGAGAGCTAGAGAAGATAGTTGCAGAAGGTAAGTGTATACGAGTCTTGTTCAATATAACCATGAATAATTCCTTCTAATGTAATATTGTTTTTCCTTCATGTCTAAAATTTCACAGCTAGGCCGCCTGCTATGGAAAATCAAGAGGGTGATGCAATTAAGAGGAGATTGCCTAAAGAAATAAAGCTCAAGCTTTCTAAAGTTGCTAGATTAGCGGTATGGGACTGTTTTTCACATTTTTATGTCTTGTAAAGTAACTCATTTTCAGATTGTCATTTTTTTCCCAATGGCGTGATGCCTTCAGGATAGATTTAAGTTTTACCAATTTCATTTTGATATTTGTGGCAGGCAAGCCAGGGGAAAGTTTCCACGGAGTTACTGAATCGCCTGATGAGCATCCTTGGTCATTTAATACAGCTAAGAACCCTTAAGGTATCAGGCACCTACAATTTTTCAGTCACGATTCAAGAATTTTGCACTTAATCAAGTTCATAAAGGGCTTGGAATATTATCATTTGTTGCATGTCAACATACCAATAACACTCAAATCTAGAATATTTTCTGTTAAATCTCCCTTTCTACTGACATAGCTGTTGCTTTTAATTCATGTGATGTAGTTTCTTTTATTTTGATGAAGAAACTTTTCCTTGTATTGGACTACTTGTGACCTTTGGAACTGCAATTATGGTGGCTCTCAAATGTTAGTGCATATATTTTGGTTCTTGAATCGTGCAAATAAATTTGCGTGATCTTGAAGCATATTTTTGCTTGTCGTTAAAATCCAAGTTCTGTATGGAACCTATTTTAGAGCAATACTGCCTGAGAGATTATTTGTTGGTTGTCAAATATGTGACGAAGTTTTCTGGCTTTTGGAAGAGTTCCCATGCTTTATCATCTTCATGATTTGAAATGCAGCACTGGTAAAAGAATTAATGAACCGAGACTGTGTTAACATTTTGTGCATTGCTTTTCTTATATATTTTATTTATGAAAGATTAGACCTGATTTTTGCTCTCAATATTCATTTCCGATAAATTCGTTAAATCAAATTGGGTCATCTTTCTCAATTACTCATTTGCGAATTTGGGACAATATTTTGGATGCAGAGGAACCTCAAAATCATGATTAATATGGATGTGTCACCAACAGCAAAGCAAGAAAAAGCTGCTAGATTTCAACTGATCAAGAAGGAAGTCTCTGAGATGATAAAAGCGAGACTTTCTTCTTTTGAGACAAAGGTTTGTTTTACTCTCTCCCCCCTCACCCCTTGTTATTCTGTTTTTTTTTTTTTTTACTTTCTCTTAGTTTTTCCCAACTCAACAAACTTTATCTTTTTGCCTCCTCATTGTGATGAAATATAGCTTTTACTCGGCTTTGCTTAAGATTAAAAGCAAAAAAAAAAAAAATCCCTACACTGTTCCGCATAGAGCCTGCACCCACATTCTCACCCTATGCTATTGTACTTCATTTTGTATGCTTATTTCCCTGTGAATTTTCTCTAGATACTTCGTTGTTGATTCCATGACTATTCTTCTCTCTCCTATCTAGTATATAAAGGTCATGGAATTTCATCTTGCTCATAACAAGTACTCTATATTATCTATGGAAATTGGTATATTTTTTAATGAAAAAATGCATATTTCCCAGATATTGGAACAGCAACCCAGAGCTTCTGATGATTTTCAAGAACTTGGTTCTGAAGAAAGAGTTTTCAGAAAAAAAATTAGCATGGACGCACCATTGGAGAACAAGATTTGTGAACTTTATGACCTCCATGTCGATGTATTCGCATGTCCCATATTTACAAATTCATCTTTGTTGGGAAAATCTTATTCATATTTATCTTATCTTCACTTTTCTATCGTTTATCTGCTGCAGGGATTAGATGAAGATGCTGGTCCACAAATCAGAAAGCTTTATGTAGAGGTTAGGCACTAATCAATTCTTTCTCTACGAACTCACACCTTCAATTAACAATGAAAGACAAAATTTGTAATGAATTCTTATTCTTCTGTCTTTCCCTACTTCCCCTTTCTTTTTTCTTTTGTACCCTTCACTTGAACGACTACGCCATCTTCCCCTTCGATCACATTTATACCTAAAAGATGCCTTCAATTTCTCGTTGCTCAACAGAATTCATAGATTTTATCCTACATTGTCACTATTGTTCTTTTTCAAATAATTTGAATCAATCTTGTGAAGTTATTCAACGCATTTCCTGTGTTAACCTTAAATGGATCTCTCGTTATTTAATTTGATCATTTTCCTTTTGCTTTTAGTTGGTGATAAAGCTATATTGGTTATTGTTCTTTATGCTTGGTTATGGTTCTACGTTGTCCGATATATTATATCATCTTACATTCAGAGTACATCTTTGAACAGCTTGCACAGCTGTGGCCAAATGGTATGATGGACAACCATGAGATTAAGCGTTCAATTTGTAGGGCAAAGGAAAGACGGAGAGCAAGGTACAATAGACGTAAGGTATGTACTCTTCTCAGCATTTCACCATTGTTATGATACCACATTTTTATCATTGTTTATATGTTTCCAAATTAAGTGGCAAGTCTTATGCAGACTGAATGCAATCCATCACGAAAAGTTTTAGCTTCGAAGTTTTGTTAGGCTTGGCTATTGAGAATCTTTCTTTTCCAAACATTTAGTTCAACCTAGCCCTTGTTTGCAGTTATTCTTAGGGTTTCAGATTCAGATGAACCAGAAGTTTTGATTGCCATTTTCGACGGATCTCCGATTTATTGATTGTTGATACCATTCTCATCAGATTGATTGACGTTTGCTTATTTGTGTTCTTCTTTGTCTTCTTTAAAGGATCAGGAGAAAATCAAGATGAAAAAGATGTTGGAACCAGGGGTGGAGGAGGGCGTTCGAGAGGACTCTGCCTCAAGTGCACATTCACAGCACACACAGGAGAGGTCGGCTGGTGATCCCGGTACTCGAGCTTTACTTTCAACTAACAAGTCACTTTCAAACACAACAGCAGCTGCCGTCCGGGTTCCGAGTCCCTCGACAAATGATTGCAGTTTCGACGGACTAAAACAGGATAAGTTAAAGGGAATCTCAAGCAGTGCCATGGATGATGAAATCAAGATGGCGGATGCTTCACTGCCAAAGAAAAAGGTAAAAAGGAAGCCGGAAAAGCATGAGTTGGGTGAATCACATTTCCAGCCCGAAAAGTTAGCTCCGCAACAGGACATCAATGACCAGCACAAGTCCGTCAAACAGCCGATGAATCTTCCTTTGAAATCAAAGGTTCCGACGACTGCTCTAAGTTCCGAGCACTAGAGTTAACATCATAAACACTCAATTCTTAGCGTTTTAGTTTTTTTTTTATTTACTTTCTGGAGAGCTTCATTGTTTCTTCCATTTTTGTAAATAAATGTTCTTCACTAACTCGTGTTGAGTAGGAGATAGCGAAAAGTTTGTACGGCAAGTATAATTTTCTAGGCTTAGTCAGCTTTTCTTTCAGCTTGAACAATTTTAGTTATATATATATATAATTAACGGATTAAATCCGATTGAGTACAGCAGTAATTCATTATGAGGATATCTTTTTAATCTAACATATTTTATTTATAATGTCAAGATTCGGATCTTTAATCATATTTAGATGATTTAATATTTCATCCTACTGATAACTTTATGATTTTAATGATACGAAGCTTGCAACTTTTATTAATTTAAATTTTCATTTTTTATTACACCCATATTTAATTTCCCATTAAACCAAAATTAATTTGTATTAAATAAGTTTCAAATTTTTCTAACAGAAATATTTTCGTTTGAAATAAGATTTATTTGAATTATGTCGGTTAATTGGTACCAAATAATTTTAAAGAAATAATTAATACTTTTATAAATATTTTATTTTTATATAATTTCTAAATAAAATATTATACATTATTATTTAATCAAACATGAAATTTTTAAATATAAATCAATTATCATTTCTTAAAATACAAGATTTTATACATGTGTTTATACTATTATTGAGCCCATCAGTTTAACCATATCTATTATCAAATTTAGAATCTGAAATATCAACTATTCCTTTAATTTACAAAACCAACTGGGACAAGAGGAAAACGGCGTTTAGTTGGATGGAATCCCTTGAAATTGGTGGGAATTGGAATCTAATTCTACCACTTTCTCATGTTTGGTTCAAGTTTTTCAAGGGAATTGGAATCCATGATGGAATTCAATTCCATCAAATGAGGGAAAGTGAATTTCATCCAAAAATGAATGAAATTCAATTTCCTTGTTGGAGGGAATTGAAATTTGACCATACTACCTTCATCAATCCTTTGGTAACTTATTCATATATTGAATAAAAATATTATTTTATTATTTCGGGTCGGGTTTCTAATTCATATATTCGGGTCGGGTCGGGTTTTTTAAATGTGATATTCAGGTCGGGTCGGGTTTGGGTTTAGGGTAAAAAAACGGGACCGACCCGAAAATATATATAATTCAGGTCGGGTCGGATTAAGTCACTGTTTTTATTAAATAAAAATATTTTTTTATTATTTCGGGTCGGGTCGGGTTGGATTTCTAATTCATATATTCGGGTCGAGTCGGATGAAACTTTATTTTGTTCGGGTCGGGTCGGGTTTTTTAAGTGTGATATTTGGGTCGAGTTTTTTAAGTGTGATATTTGGGTCGAGTCGAGTCGGGTTTTTTTAAGTGTGATATTCGGGTAGGGTCGGCTCAGGTTCGGGTTTAGGGTGAAAAAAATCGGACCAACCCGAAAATATATATAATTCGGGTCGGGTCGGATTAAGTCACTGTTTGTATTAAATAAAAATAATTTTTTATTATTTTGGGTCGGGTCGGATTTCTAATTCATATATTCGGGTCGGGTCGGGTCGGATGAAACTTTATTTTGTTCGGGTCGGGACGGGTTTTTTTAAGTGTGATATTCGGGTCGGGGTCGGGTTTAGGGTGAAAAAATCGGACCGACCCAAAAATATATATAATTCGGGTCAGGTCGGATTAAGTCACTGTTTGTATTAAATAAAAATAATTTTTTATTATTTCGGGTCGGGTCGGATTTCTAATTCATATATTTGAGTCGGGTCGGATGAAACTTTATTTTGTTCGGGTCGGGTCGGGTGTTTTAAGTGTGATATTCGGGTCGAGTCGGGTCAGGTTTTTTAAGTGTGATATTCGGGTCAGGTCGGTCGGGTTCGGGTTTAGGGTGAAAAAAACTAGACCGACCTGAAAAAAAATATAATTTTACCTTATATATTCAGGAATAATTACAATAATACCTCTCTATATATAATTTTTTTCAATTAAGTCAATGTTTTTATTGAATAAAAATAATTTTTTTTATTATTTTGAGTCGTGTCGGGTCGAGTTTCTAATTCATATATTGAATAAAAATAGTTTTTGGTATATTTTTTGGTAACTAATTAACATACTCCGATTGGAATGTATCGAAATATTGCTCTATCTTTTGGTAACTTATTAACATATTTTGATTGAGATGATTTTAACTTATAATGTTTATTAACATAATTTTTATAATTTATTAAAATGAATAATCAATCAATAAAATAAAAATTTAATATTTTTTAATTTTTTATAATATATTACTACATGTAAGTTGTAAAATAAACTAAAATAAAGCAAAAAAAATAAGAATGGCAATTCTGTCATTTTACATTACTGAAATCAAATTCATCTGACATGTCTGCGAACCAAACAGAATATGGAATTGGATTCCAATTCCATTTCCTGCCAACCAAACAGAATATGGAATTTGATTCCAATTCTTACAGATTCTAATTCCTTCACAGATTTCAATTCCCTCGTAAACATTCCAGTGAACCAAACGCCACCTGAGAAGTTATAACCTACGGCACCCTTAATATACGGTTAAAAAAATGGTATCGGTTTTGTTATTATTTAAATAAGAAAACCGGTAAAAAATTACTTAAAACATTATTATTTCTACCTAAAACATCAATGTTTTTTAACATTTCCGGTAAAATACCCAACAATAACAAAATCGGTAAAAAAATAATAAAACCGATAACACTTTATCGGTTTTGTTAAGAAACCCGGTAAAATGCACAATAATAACAAAACCGGTAGAAATAATAATGTTTCTGGTAATTTTTTACCAATTTTATTATTTAAATAATAACAAAATCGGTAGCACAATTTTTTAGTTGTATAATAAGGTGCCGCACGTGATCATTTCCCCATACATATGGATTTATATGATTCGCAGTTTTTAAATAAAGTAATAAAATACTCAAACATAGCACCGCTCTCTAGGTTTCTTCTACCGTTTTTTTTCTTTTAGGATTTGTATAGTTTTCTATAGATCAAATTAATTTTTTTCTTTAATTTTATTTAGTCGATTGTGATATTAGTTTTGATATTAGTCGCCGATTGACGGTTCTATTTTTTTCTAGTTTTTAATAAGAATAATTTTATCTTTGAGGTACGTTTTTTTCTATCTTTGTGACATATTTTTTGTCTTGTTTCTCGGTCGTTTGGTCGTTTCTTTTTATTTTATGTTTTTTAGGGTTGGAATTGACAATACTACGACTGATTAAGATAACATGTATTTATATTATTGCTGATCTCTCTGCTCTTGACCCTCATATTGAATTTTGATATACAATTTTAGAGTTGTGGATTGTTTCTCACGATGCTCGGCTCTAATTTTTTGTTCTTGACGGTCTTTCAATAGCTTAATTCTCTTTTATGGTTTGTTTGTCAATACAGTCAGATTTATTTGTATTTATTTATCGTTCGAGTCTTTTGATTGACTTATTAACCTTTACCATGTATAGTTACTGTATAATATAAAATGACTAGTTTCTTGTTTCGATGTTATAAAAAAATTTGAATTATATATTTAGTTTACAATGTTAGTTGTAAACTCTTATTATAATTTTGAATATTTTCACATTTTAATAAGATTAACTATTTCTATAAAAAAAATATTCAAACATATATAACAATTTATTAGATTCATGTAGGTGGAAAGTTACTCAATAATAATAACAACAAAATAATCAATAAATCTAGATTTATATACCATAATTCCATTTTTTTTAATTTTATTTCTTTTCATTGTTTAAAATTGAAGAAAAATGATTCTTCTTTCATAGATTTGGTTTTCTGGTCCATGTTTTCCACTTTCTATTTTTAATGATAAAGTTAAATTAAAAATATATTTTTTTATTTAAAAATATTTTGAATCTATTTAATTTAAATGATCCATGAACTTATAACTCGTGGTTACTCAAATAATATTTTATTAATATTTTTAATGTACTTAATATATGTTAGTTAATATGATGATCTTGTAGAATATATTTTAGAAAAAATAATCCCCAAATAATTTGAGGGGAAAATATTAAAAAATTTAGAATTTGTTTGGTTCTAGAAAATATTTTCTTTTTTTGCTTTATGTTTTTATTTCTAGAAAATAGTTTTCATTTTCAGTTTTTTAAAAATTAGAAATGTTTGGTTAATATAAATGAAAACTTAAAATCAAAAATAAAAATTGTGAAAATATGTTTAGTATCTAATTTTTTAAAGTAAAACTGAATAAATAACTATTAAATAATTAAATTAAAATATAATTATTAAAAAAATTCATTATATAAATTTAAGTTATGCAAAAACAATAAAATTGATAAAAAAAAAATCTATAACACAAAAAAGCTATTTAATTTTTTGACCAACTTAATCAAACCGTCAAGACTATTACATGACAATTCACAAAAGTTTACATAATAATCTACAATATTGATGTGACAGTACATTATGGATAATGATGTGATAAATGAGTTTAATTGATTTTTTTAAGTTTGATGGCATTATTAATATTTTAGAAAGTTTGAGGACTTATTTGATTTTTTTTAAATTAAGTATTATTTAAATTTAAAATATAAATAATTATTAAGACATTTAATACCCTAAATATAAAAATGCTAAAAAAATTAAATAATTTAAAAAATAGTTTAAGAAGCACATTGAGAGTAAAAAAGTTTAGGGACCAATTGATTTTTTTTTCAAAAGTTTGAGGGTTCTAGGATAAAAATATTATTGCTAGAAGGATTTGAACATGTGTAATTTAAATTAAAAATTCTAAATTTTGTATTTCAAAATTTTTTAAATTTCTAAAATAAAATTAAAATACTGAAAATATCATATGGGTTACCGATATCTGGTATTCACTCCATAATCCGGTTAACATAGTCTATATATTTACTCACTTAGCTAGAGAAGAACTTCAACATCTCTCTGTATTGGTGTAGTTTTCTGCACAAAGGTCATCTGCACCGCCGTCTATGGGAACATTGATTTCAGGGCTTGCTAACAGCTAAATCCCAGACAAGAAACCGTTAGGCTGACGAGAAACCTTGATCACCTCCCCTGATAGTTAGTACACCTGCAAGTTGAGATCAGTGTTGACTGATTCAGCATTTCATCCATGGTTGGTATGAAACTGAACAAAACAGAAAAACAAACGATAACCACGAGCAAATCTCATCTCCGTTGTTGGTTATCATCTACATGCATAGGTCTTGAAGCCAATCTGTCGAACATCTACTTCAACATTATCTCCTGCTAGTTCCTGCAAATCAGTTATACCAATGACAGAAAAAAATGCTCAATACTTAGAATAAAGTGTGCTCAAAGGTTTTCTCCATCCTAGCAGAGCCTACTTCTCAGGCAAACAAAGACTAATTAGTCAAGCCTTTGTTCTAACCTGTGCCTTGATGGTTCGGTCCCAACTACCCGTAAAAAGCCATTTTCCGTCCAAGCTAACAGCGAAAATGGCTCCATTGTGTATTTGCATTGATTTCCGAAGCACATCGTCCCCCTAAACTGGAAAGAAGCATGAAGAATGGAAATGATCTTATTACCAAACTCGAGAGAAAAAGGAAAGGAGGGGGCTGAAAAGAACAGCTTATCGGCATCCAGCCTTTTCAAATGGACAGGAGAAGCTAATAGCAACATGACATTTCAAGTTTATACCATGTAATGATAAGCTATCATTCGGATAGTGTGTCATCAATTCATTTACATGAAAACAGTAAACAAATCAATTTTGTGAATCAATTGTGCAATGGAAGAGACTCTGCTTCAATTATCAAAAAACAAATCAATGATACTTGCCACCCAGGCCTTGAACTACCCACCCCCATTAACAAAAGGAAACCTTGTAATGTGGACAATAAGTAACTATACTTGGACAAGAAACAATGTCCTTGCAACAGCGAGCGCGAAGTTAGTTTTTTTTCTTTTAGCAAATGCGAGAAAAGGTGACAAAGTTACCATAGATTAGATGAACTTATGCTAGTAAAGTTTCTAAATATAGAAGCCATAACACAATAAGAACCTTTTCCACCATTTGGGCAGGAGATGTTCCTTTAGGTTTCATCGGTAGCAAGGGGATTTCCCCTTTAACCATTGCTTGGTACTGAAACAATTAGGCCCTGATGCTAAAAAATTAATAAAGATAGCACTAATAAAAAAGATGCATTTAACTTTCGGCAATACCTTGCAATTTCTTCTATAACAAAATTTAGGCAGCAGTCAAATGTCCTGAACTTGAAACAGCATATACAATATAAAAGAAGAGAAAATAACCTCAGTGACCAAAAATCCCATATAATATACGATTTTAACCAACTTTTTCCGGATTTGCCAAAATAACCAACAAAATCGCAATGCGATCGCTAATTCGCAACGCGATCTCCATTATCGCAAATCAGTTTCCAGATTCGCAACGCGATTATTACTATCGCAATGCGATTTTCCAATTTCACGTTGCGATTTTTCCAATTCGCAATGTGAATAAGTAAATCGCAATGCGAATTTGGAAAATCGCAATGCGATACTGACTAACGCAACGCGATAATACAAAATCGCAACGCGATACTGACTTTCGCAACGCGATACTGACTTTCGCAACGAGATAATACATAATCGCAATGCGATTTTCAAAGCGCCATTAATATCGCAAAGCGTATTTTATTTTCAAATTCCAAACACGAATATTAATATATTGGAACACTGAACCGTCCACAGTATATCCCGTAATCGCAACTCATAACCTAAAACCTAAAATCACAACTCAGTCCCATCTCTATCTCTCACTCTCTCACCCATCTCCGACGAAATCCATCCCCATCTCCGGCGAAATCCGTCTATCTCCATCTCTCAGAGCCACCCTCACAATCAGAAATGGAAAATCAACCAAATCAACCACCGAGGGTTAGTTTTTTAATTATTTTCTTTTTGAAATTTTTACATTATTATTAGGTTTTTCATATTGAAATTGATGATAAGTTTACTGGTAATTTCAATAATAGATTAACCATTTCACTTAGATTCCTTATTAAATCAACCGAGAATCGCAACGCGATTGTCATTTTCGTGTTGCGATTTTCATTTTCAGAAACTATTATTCTTCTGCAAATTGAAACTTGAATGAATTGCATTACTTCAACCAAAAAACAAAGACAAATAAGAAATTCACAATGTTGCAAATTTAAGTTTGAAGAATAAACTACTACTCTTTATGTTTATTATTGTTTTTGGTATATCTTCACAGTGTAGTTTTTGGTATATCTAACTTAGTATGTTTATTGTTTTTGTAGAACTTTTATTCGGCTCAATTGACCTTAAGAAATAAAGTCAGCCTGGCCAAAACAATTGCGTCGAAGCTTTCACCTGCACAAAGAAAAATGTTTGAGGATACTTGCTTCGGGCCATGGTTGAAAGTACAACATCCCGGTGGAGATGCGATGTTGACACACCTGTTTCTTCAAACCATGACTAGGGATCTACCAGATACTATACAACGTCGTGATGAAGAGATATAGTTTGATTTTCCACCGGCGTATACGTGTTTTGGGCGGGAGGAGTTTTGCTTAATCACCGGTCTACGCTTCGGACACGATGATGTAGGTCGGTACACTAGACACATTACCCGCCCATCATGGTTATCCCGGGTTTTTCCTGAGCTGGAGAGGCCGAATCTACACCTAGAAGACCTGACGAGATTATTGAATAAGAAAGATAGTTTTACTCGGATGGATGACGTCGATGTTGTCCGAGTATGCCTTCTAATACTTTTGCATGCCGGCTTTTTAGGCAGAGAGGCTAGACAACCTATTCCGAATGATCTAATCAAATTGGTAGAAGACCTAAATGCGTGGAACCTGTTTCCGTGGGGCTCGTATTTATGGAAAGCTACATGGAATAAGTTATCGTCTGCCTTGGATGATCGAAAAAGTTTGCATGGCGATGGTTCCAAATACACTTTGACAGGCTTTATTTGGGCCTTTAAGGTAAGAATTTTTATATAATGTTTCCAAAATTATAAGTAATTATTTAACAATTACTAATGTTTGTTATTATATTGTTTGTAGATTTGGATATTTGAGGCCTTTCCCGCCATGAAGACATATGCAATAAAAACTTCAAATGATATTCCCAGGGCTATTTTCTGGAAGAAGAAACGGACCTTGCAATGGGAAGATTTACTATGGTATACGATAATAAATAATGTAAGTTAACATAAATACTACCATATGTTTATAAACAAGTTATTACTAGTACACGTTTAACTTTGTTTGAGCTTTTATATTGTTAGGAGGCCAACACTCCATTACAGAGGCTGACACCCACGGAAGCTGCGCTTGCCACTGATTGGTGGCAAGCTAGTAAGCGTTTTTTTGATGGCACGGATGATGAGCAGCCTCCACTTCGGAAGCCATCATCTCACCCAGAGCTATCACCTCACCCAGAGCCATCACCTGATCGACCCGACTATACACCTCCACAACGACAGCCATCACCTATTCTGTCACATCATCGAGCCTCTTCTCCACCATCACCGCAAGATAGGCGAGCGTGAAGTTAGTTTTTTTTCTTTTAGCAAATGTGAGAAAAGGTGACAAAGTTACCATAGATTAGATGAACTTATGCTAGTAAAGTTTCTAAATATAGAAGCCATAACACAATAAGAACCTTTTCCACCATTTGGGCAGGAGATGTTCCTTTAGGTTTCATCGGTAGCAAGGGGATTTCCCCTTTAACCATTGCTTGGTACTGAAACAATTAGGCCCTGATGCTAAAAAATTAATAAAGATAGCACTAATAAAAATGATGCATTTAACTTTCGGCAATACCTTGCAATTTCTTCTATAACAAAATTTAGGCAGCAGTCAAATGTCCTGAACTTGAAACAGCATATACTGAAGACATAAGAAATTGTACCTCCTACAGCTAATCCGGAAACCCGATCAAGATAGCCTTGCAAATCTTTTGATTTAATGCTTCCCTCAGCGAGACCGTTAACCATGTCCGTTGCACCGTTTGTTTCATTTCCTTGTGTCTCTTCTTTTTCCTGTTTTTACAGGTCTTTCCCCAGACATCAGACACAATTTTCCCACAACCAAACATCGTTCTCCATTCTCATCATAACTTGCTCCATCCAATTTCACCAATTTATCGGATTGCAGTTTAATAACTAGCTCTCTAATACATTTCCATACATCTCTCACCAGTGAACGATGCTCGGGATCAAGATCCAAGCATTTACATAGAACCTGTTGCAAAGGCACACATTCTGACCCAAATTTAGTTCCGAACAAAGAAATAACTTTCTCCATGAAACTTGTATAGACACTCAAACAATCAATTTCACTATTCTCACTTCCTTTCACAATAATATGGCACATATAATCAACCAACTCGTCACTAAAAACATCCCCATTGACAATCCTAAGCAGAATACAACTTAACAACCAAGCATCCGAGCTATATCTTATTGAATATCTTGTGCTACCACGCTCTAACCCGATACCCTTTTTATCTAAAAGCTTAAGCAACACGTCAGGGCTAACAAATACATCCCTTCTCAACAAATCTTAAAACAAAATACCAATTTCTTCATCAATAATCTTTTTACCACTAAAACCAACATTTACAGCATCTTGCATTCCCCTTCCAGTCAATAACAACTCATTCAAATCAATATATATATGCCCGAAATCATAGGCAAACAAAGCTTAACAACCAGCAATCAACCCTTCTCGATGCAAAGAAACGACGGCGTCACATATTACCATACCGATCATTGCGAAATTAAAAACCCCATCTTTGTCAAAACTACCCAAGTTCTTATCCAAAACACTTCCCAATTTCTGCTTCTCACTTACTAAATATAAAACTCCATCCCAAGATCACCCCACAAACCCAAAATTCTACAACTTTGCTTAGTAAATGCTCTTAAAACTAAACCCAATTATTCTCTTTCATCCTCTTTCATTTCACGCATGCAATCCATAACTTTAACGAGATACCCAGCATTAAACACGGAGCCATCCTCCCCACCAGTTGAAAAATACCCAACGGGATAAAGACTCACTTTGTTTCTCTCAACGGCGTCATCACGGAGGAGGTAGTTTTTCCAGTTGGAGTAAAACTTGTCGGACCAAGATCGGGGGAGGAAAGGGACACGGGAGACATTTTTCGGTTCGTTGTCGGGTTTTCGGGGATTTTCAGAGGCGGGGATGAGTCTAAGGAGGTCGATGTTTTTTGGGAGAGTCGTCGGACATTCCGTCGGGTACTTGACGAGAACCGTACAGGCGGGGCATCGGATTGCTCCGACGGGATCGTGCACGCGCCGTCATACGGTTGCAAGCAGACCGGACACTCCGGTAATTCCTGCGACGCCTCCATCACCGCCGGACAGAAGAAGAAGAAAAAGAAGAAGTTTCTCGTCCTCTTGAAACGCCGTACCCTCCAGAAAAACTCGTTTCACTTTGACTATCTTCTGACATTTTTACCCCTATAGTTTCCAAATAATACCAAAATCACTCTCCTTTTTAACTGTAGATTCTAGCATGGCATCGTCCATGTCCATGTGAACATAGGTTGAAGAACTCTAGTCTTGCAACTCTAAAATACCGTGCGTGTAAGCTATGTTACTATGAAATGAGTACAGTTGAGTATATCACTATATTATTAAAAAAAAATAATTGAATAATTAATGTTAAATTAAAATATTTATTATCTTATATTCATTCTAATTAATAAAAAAATAAAAAATATTATATTATATTCATATATGCTTCGTAAGATCTATCTCGTGTATAAACCTTTTAGATAATTCTTTATTTGGTGAAAGCTGATCGAAACAAAGATCTAGCGAGACTCCAAGAGTTCCTTCTGCAGAAGCAACACGACCTCCCTCGGTGGTTCTTGGAAAATCATAGTACCTACAGGAGCGCCACGTTCCATGACCGCCAACTTATCTGCCACACCATTCTGCTTTCTTCGAATGTGCGAGACTTTAAAAGTCCAATCTCGATCACGTGACTCTTGGATGGCAGTGACCAATGAATTACCAATCAACGCATCCGACATGTTACTGAATATATGAGCCACTTCAATGTTATCCGTCTCTAGCTCCACTAGTCTGAAACCCAATCTCCAAGCATACATTAGGATATCATGAGCTGCCCAAAGTTCAGCTGTGATAACTGAACATCTGCCTAGACTTCGAGTGTAGCCGAACAACCATTCTCCTTCATGGTTCCGAAGGGTACCCCCAGAAGCAGCGTTGCTTCCAGCCTGACGAACCGCTTCATCAGAATTGGCTTTAACCCAAACAATAGGGGGAACGTCTCCACTTTAATGGGTTGTGGACGGGTTGCAATCTTGATCTATCTTCACACTCGTTCGCTCTCACTATCTCAGTAACAAGGCCATCGCACCGAGTAAGAAACCTTCCTTTTCCACATACTCGGGATCGAAAATTACCTGACATCTGTATTTCTAAAGCTGCCAGCAATATATAGCAAAATTAGTAGGCCAGTTCTCAAATTCTGAAACAAAGTTACTTGGCATCAGGGCCGATCCCGACTATTTTTAAATTTGGGATAAAAATTAAAAAATAGCCCCTAATATAAAAAAATTAAGAAATATCTAATAGAAATATTTTATTAGATTTTTTAAAATTAAAAAATAGAAATTCATTACAATATAAAAGATGTCAAAAAATATATTTAAGAATACAAATATTATAAAAAAAATATTGCATTCGAATATTTTTATGCACAACTATTGATGATAGTGTCAACATCAATGATTTCCAACATATTTTTCTCAATACATAACATAGATTTTAAAATGAAAGAATGATCTTATTTAGAATTTGAAAATATATAAAATTAAAAGAAAAAATTTGAAAACGTGATATACCTAGAATTTTAAGACCAATCTTCAATATTATTCAAGCACCATAATTGATAATAAACTATTGTGACTTTACGTGTGATAGAAATATGATAAATTAAAAAATGAGAATAATAATTTTCAGATGAATCATGAAACATGAAAGAGAAAAAATGTTAATTATACTTAATTTTTTTCTCTCATTAAGTTTTGAAAAAAAATAACATTAATATTTTTTTCATTGATATGAAAAATCGGGAAATAGATTTGGTGAATTGATAGTGGGAATTTGGAAAGATCAAAATTAAAGAGTTCAATTGATTTTTTTTTAAATTTTGAGAAATAAATATTAAATTAGAATTTTATGGAAGAATAATTTATTAATGTTAATATAAAATTCAATAAAGATAATTGACACCTTAATAAATTCATAGGACCTATTATTTTATTGAGTAAAATATGTATTTAGTGCCTAAATATTAGTTTTGATCTGTTTTAGTACCTAAACTTTAATTTTTTTCAAAACAATACGTAAAGTTTAGTTTTTATTTTATTTTAGTATTCATTCAAATTTTAACATTAAGTTTTAATTTTTTTTGAAATTTTAAGCACTAAAATAAATCAAACTGATAGTTAGGCATTAAACGCGTTAAGTTTTTAACGACTGATACTAAAATGAAATGAAAAATAAAGTTTAAATATGATTTAAAAAAAAATAAAAATTTAGATATTAAAACGGATTAAAACTGATAGTATATGTACTAAATGTATAGATTACTCTATTTTGTTTTAAAAAAATTTAATTTATTATTAGAAAAAAAATAAAAATTATTATACTAAAAGAAATTATTTTGTGGGTCTTGGGCGGGTGCCCCTCCTACCCTTGCCCAGGGCCGGCCCTGCCTGGCGCCTGCAGATTCATCCTTATCCACTTACAATAAGGAAAGCATCTTTGGCCAAAGTCCAGTTGCCTGGTTGCAGCGACGAAGTGTATGATCAGTATCTTCAGCTTGATACCCGCAAACAGTGCAGACAACATCGTTTGAGAGGTGGTGTCTGGTCCGCTCGACGTTAGTAAGCAATCTGTCATGGACTACTAGCCAAAGAACTATTTTGACACACAGCAGGACTGCTAGTTTCCAAATCATATGCATTTAAATTGGATCGGCTCCTCCATCGTATCTGTAATAGCGTTATAGGCAGACTTTGCTGTGAAACGTTTATCATCTATCAACCGCCAGCAGGGAACATCCGGGCTGAGATGGTCATAAGCTAATAAGACCGTCACAATTTTTTGTATAATCTGCGCTGGCAGTATTAATGACATTCTCTCCGGATTCCATGCACCCGAGAGAAGCACTATATCACAAACTGACAACGACATTGGTGATTCATTACCCTTACATGCAAAGACAAGTCTTTCCTCGTTCTCCAACCACTGATTGTACCAGAAATCTGTATTTTTACCATCGCGAATACTCCACCAAATATACTTAGTAAATTCTCTCCAAATGCATTGAAGCCCTTTCCATAATCTGGATCCGTTTGCATTTTCTATTGAGAAAGGAATGGTGCCTTCTCATTTATATTTTGAGCGAACTATTTTCACCCATAGAGATTTGGTTAGGTGACTAGTTAAAATGCAATTTTCATCAAGAAGGCCTTGTTCTAATTTGAGAGGCTCTTTAATCCCATACCTCCATTTGCAATAGGTTGTGTAAGCGTATCCCACTTTACAAGGGATATTGCATTGCTGTTGCTTGCGTCCCAAATGAATCCGGAAATAATTTTCTCCATTTCATCACAGATGCCTTTTGGAAGCTACGAAGACTGCATCACATATCCCGAAATAGCCTGAAGGACCGCCTTCGCCAGGGTGATGCGTCCGGCTAATGTCAAGGATCTTGCAACCCAACCTACTAGTCTTTTGTTCATTCCGTCTAGTAGGTAAGCGTAAGTAGCTTTGGTGACTTTATTATGTAATAAGGGAACCCCAAGATATTTTCCTAAATCTGTAACCTCCTCAAATCCAAATTGATGTGCAACGGCACTTCGGGTTTCACCAGTACAGTTCTTTAAAAAATATATTTGGGTTTTCGTCGGACTAATCCGATGACCAGATACCTTGCAAAAATCATTAAGCACCAGTCTAATTACATTACACTGAGCTAGCTCGGCCTCAACAAATAAGACAAGGTCATCAGCAAAGAAGAGGTGCGATAGACCCGGTCCATTCCTTGACAGGTGAATAGGCTTCCAACCTTCGCTAGAAATTTCATTTGTGATAATCTCTCCATGCAGAGCACAAAATTGTAAGGAGATAGAGGGTCTCCCTCCAAATCCCCCGCGTGATTTGATATCAATTATTATTACTACTACTACTACTATTATTATTATTATTAAATAAAAATATTACTACAAAACAAATTACATGGGGTCATATTGTAATCCCAGGCCCATTACAACAATAACCCAACAACTTGTTTAGAAGCCCAAGATTAGAAGGCCCACAACTCAAGTGTTTTGGGATGAAACCCTAGCTAGGGTTGCCATTCGCCATGGCTTCATCCTCACTGTTGGATCAGATCTGATCCAACGATCTAGATTTGATGGAACTAGGGTTTCACACTAAAATTATTGCCCAGGTCGCCGCCTTCACGCACTCGTTGATCTGTTAATCGTGTAATCCCGAGGATTGTTGCCATCACCGTCTCCGGATTTACCGTCGGCCACCACAGAAAAACAAAGAGGCCTCAGGTTTATTTTTTACTATGTCCTTTCGTTTGCATCACCGTCGCATGCCAAAGCACCATCCATGGCATTGTCCCATCCTCGGCCAAAGCACCAAACACCATAAAAAAGGAAACAATAGCTCTTTTTCTATTTACATGCAACACAAAAGATCAAAGAAAAAGGGGGTTTCACTATAAAAGAGAACAAAAATAGTAACCATTCAGGTATCAATCAAGCAACACAAAAGAGAGAGAAACTTTCGAACAAAAAAAAGAGAAAAAAAAACAAAAAAAAGAATAAGGAAGAAGACACGAAGGAGAAAGAAGAAGCTTACCACCATTCATTGTTCATCGGGAAGTCAAACGTTATCGAAAAATCATTTTTTTCCGAAGGTAAAACTCTAGATCTAGGTCGATCGGTGAACTTTAGGCATGAAAGAGTTTGAGTTTAGGTTTAGGAAGAGGAGGGGTTCTTTTAGGCATTCGGTTCAAGTTTCAGCCACCGTGGATGACCAACGGTGTCGCTGGCGTGCGGTGGACGGAGGCTTTGTGCCTCATTCGGTGAGGAAGAGTGAAGAGTTGAGAAAAAAGGGGTTTCTTTTTCTTGGTAAAATATAGAAATGAAAAAAATGAAAGGGTTAGGCCATTTTTGGCCTTAGTTTTGGGCTTTTATATCCCATGTCAAACGATGCGTTTAGGGGTAAATAGGTGCGTGTTTTAGCGCTTAGGTTTACCACATTTTCAATCACTAGCACTTTGTAACTTTTTGATTTAGTTACCGAATGAAAGTTTCGCCTGTTCGGTTTTGAGCTTTAGATCTAATCGCCTTTACACTTTAGTCATTATTTGTTTGTTTGCATGCATGGGATAAATGTTTGATCTGATTCTAAATTTTTTTATTCATTTCATTTTAGCCCTTGTTGTAAG